CCAAATATCCTGTACCTGAGCATGGATCCATCATTTCCCAAATATTCTGTACCTGAGAAAGGATCCATCACATTCCAAATATCCTGTACCTGAGCATGGATCCATGACATCCCAAATATCCTGTACCCAAGCATGGATGCATCATATCCTAAATATCCTGTACCTGAGCATGGATCCATCATTTCCCAAATATCCTGTACCTGAGCATGGATCCATGATATCCCAAATATCCTGTACCTGAGCATGGATCCATCACACCCTAAATATTCTGTACCTGAGCATGAAACCAATCCCATCCAAAATATCCTGTACCTGAGCATGGATCCATGATTTCCCAAATATCCTGTACCTGAGCATGGATCCATGGATCCATCATTTCCCAAATATCCTGTACCTGAGCATGGATCCATCATTTCCCAAATATCCTGTACCTGAGCATGGATCCATGATATCCCAAATATCCTGTACCTGAGAAAGGATCCATAACATCCCAAATATCCTGTACCTGAGCATGGATCCATCATATCCCAAATATCCTGTACCTGAGCATGAAACCAATCCCATCCCAAATATCCTGTACCTGAGAAAGGATCCATAACATCCCAAATATCCTGTACCTGAGCATGGATCCATCACATCCCAAATATCCTGTACCTGAGCATGGATCCATGATATCCCAAATATCCTGTATGTGAGCATGGATCCAATTCTATCACACCCCAAATATCCTGTACCTGAGAAAGGATCCATAACATCCCAAATATCCTGTACCCAAGCATGGATGCATCACATCATATCCCAAATATCCTGTCCCTGAGCATGGATCCATGANTCCCAAATATCCTGTCCCTGAGAAAGGATCCATAACATCCCAAATATTCTGTACCTGAGCATGAATCCAATCCCATCCAAAATATCCTGTCCCCGAGCATGGATCCATAACATCCCAAATATCCTGTCCCTGAGCTTGGATCCATCACACCCCAAATATCCTGTACCTGAGAAAGGATCCATAACATCCCAAATATTCTGTACCTGAGCATGGATCCATGGATCCATCACACCCCAAATATCCTGTCCCTGAGCATGGATCCATAACATCCCAAATATCCTGTACCTGAGAAAGGATCCAATCCCATCCCAAATATCCTACACCTGAGCATGGATCCAATCCCAAATATCCTGTACCTGAGCATGGATCCAATCCCATCCCAAATATCCTGTACCCAAGCATGGATGCATCACATCATATCCCAAATATCCTGTCCCTGAGCATGGATCAAATTCTATCACACCCCAAATATCCTGGACCTGAGAAAGTATCCAATCCCATCCCAAATATCCTGTCCTTGAGCATGGATCCATGATTTCCCAAATATCCTGTACCTGAGCATGAAACCAATCCCATCCCAAATATTCTGTACCTGAGCATGGATCCAACCCCACCACATCCCAAATATCCTGTACCTGAGCATGGATCCATGATATCCCAAATATCCCATCACACCCCAAATATCCTGTACCTGAGAACGGATCCATGGATCCATCACACCCCAAATATCCTGTACCTGAGCAAGGATCCAATCCCATCCCAAAAATCCTGTATCTGAGCATGAAACCAATCCCATCCCAAATATCCTGTACCCAAGCATGGATGCATCACATCATATCCCAAATATCCTGTACCTGAGCATGGATCCATGGATCCATCATTTCCCAAATATTCTGTACCTGAGCATGAAACCAATCCCACCCCAAATATCCTGTACCTGAGAAAGGATCCATGATATCCCAAATATCCTGTATGTGAGCATGGATCCAACCCCATCCCATCCCAAATATCCTGTCCCCGAGCATGAAACCAATCCCATCCCAAATATCCTGTCCTTGAGCATGGATCCATAACATCCCAAATATCCTGTACCTGAGCATGGATCCATGATATCCCAAATATCCTGTATGTGAGCATGGATCCAATTCTATCACATCCCAAATATCCTGTCCCTGAGCATGGATCCATGGATCCATCATTTCCCAAATATCCTGTCCCTGAGCACGGATCCATCACACCCCAAATATCCTGTACCTGAGCATGGATCCATCATTTCCCAAATATTCTGTACCTGAGAAAGGATCCAT